ATAGAGCATTCTAGAAAATGATAAGGCTAAGGAATTTTTGAGGTTAGTTGGTGAGAAATTTAAGACTTTTGAAAAAATTCAAAAGGGTTAGTATTTGTCTCTTCTTGAGAAGACCAAATATAATGGTATTTGAAATTTGATCAGGTGTTCACTTCTTTTGGCTTCAAGGAAAATGCCTCAGATCAATGCATTTACTTGAAGACTAGTGGGAGTCATTTCATCCTTCTTGTATTCTATGTTGATGATATTCTTCTTGCTAGTAGCAGTGTTAAACTTTTGACCGAAACAAAATTTATGTTAAATAGCCACTTTTATATGAAGGACCTTGGAAATGCCTATGTTGTTATAGGCATTTAGATTTTCCATGATAGGTCATGTGACATTCTTGGATTGTCTCAGAGAGGGTATATTGATAAAGTCCTCAAATAGTTTAACATGCAATTTTGCTCCCCATGTGTTGCACTTGTTCAAAAAAGGTGATAAACTCTCTAAATCTCAATGTCCTCAAAATGATAATGATAGAGTTGAAATGGAAAAAGGTGGAAAAAGGTTCCATATGCTTCCGTTGTTAGTAGTTTGATGTATGCTCAATTTTGTATTCGTCCCGATATTATTTTTGCTGTTACTGCTTTAGGGAAATACTTGAGCGACCCGGGTTTGGGTCATTGGAAAGTTGTTAAAAAGGTCTTTAAATATTTGCAGGGAACCAAGGATCATATGTTGACCTATAAGAAGTCTGATCAACTTTAGGTCATTTGTTATTCTGATTTTTTTTTTGCTGGTTGCCCTGACGACCGAAAATATACTTCCAACTTTTGTTTTTATGATGGTAGGAGGAGCTATTTCTTGGAAAAATGTTAAATAGACTCTTATAGCTACTTTTACCATTGAGACAGAGTATGTCGCTTGTTATAATGCTACTTGTCAAGCTGTGTGGCTTAAAAATTTGATTTCTAGCTTTCATATTGTTGAAAGTATTTATAGGCCACTTGTGATATATTGCGACAATACTACTACTATGCATTTCTCTCAAAACAACAAGAATTCTACTCGCTCAAAATATTTTGGTATAAAATTTTTGTTTGTTAGAAAGAAAATTTTGGATTTTCATACTCAAATTGAGCATAATGCTAAAAATAAAATAAAATATGTTAGCAGATCCACTAACTAAAGGCTTAGCTACTGGAGTTTTTCAAAATCATGTAACTCATATGGGTGTGGTTAAGTTTTTTTGATGTATTGGGTTAGTGGGAGTCTGAAAATTACATTTTTTGCTGTTATGATTTTCATGAGATGTAAATTTATCAATGATGTCATTTTCATTACATCTCTTTTAGCATATGAAATTGCTTGGACCATTTTTGGGATCATATATGTTATTATGTTTTTATTATCCATTATTTATGAAATATAAGCATAAGGTATGTATCCCTATCGGAAACTATCTTTGTGGTTATGTTTATATTTCTTATATTGTTAATTGATATATGTGCTTGTGTTGTAATTGATATATTTAATTTATTGATTAATGTTATCCAAGTGGGAGAATGTTATATTTATATATTTATTTATATAATTATTCTCTATTTTATTACGATTATTATGGATTAACATTAATTAATAAATTATATTTATATGTTAATATCAATTATATTGCACATTATTATTAATTTATGGATAATGCATATTGGGCTTTTGATGAATGCTCCATGATGGGTTGGACTGTTTAGTAGCCCGTTGAGAGGTCCCTGGTCTCTACTGGTAAGGATATATAATTGATACCCCATTAGTTAGTTAATATGATAAAAACACATTTTGTCTTCTACCTTTTCATCTCCTACCAAGAAGAGAGCAATCTTCTCTCACGTTGTTCAAGACTGATAAGAATGAATCTTTTAGTGATTTCGGGTACGTAATTATTTCTAAACCTTGATCAAACATACTATAATATTGTATCTTATATTATTCATTATTTGAGTAATCACTATGAATTTCTTTCATTTTTCTCCAACACCATACTAGTATGCATTGCAACAAAATTATACCGACAATCTATTGGCTCTAATATCAGTGTTGGGTATCAAAGTAACTAAATAATAACACATCTAAAATAAGAGATGGGAAAATAAGAGTAAAAAAAAAAAATAGACACAATAAAAAATTTTACTAAAGGAGGAAATTACATTATTCCCCACTTTAAAATTCACCCCTTAAAATATGATAATACTACTATCGGAAAAAAAAAACTCTCAAAATAGATTAAAGAGAAGGAAAAAAAATTTGGGATGCTTGTAATGAGACCACTAAACCCTATTTTATTGGCCAAATGTAGAATTACAAAATAAATCCACCTATGTGAGACTTACCAACTAACAGGCTGAGCAAACATTCAGAGAGCACCCTAAAAGTCTTAGTATTCCAAGAGAGCACCCTAAATGGTGTGATTTGATTCGATTTACGATTTAGAAATGTGAAATGGACCAAAATCATGACACCACACTTATATGCAAAAAAAAAAAAATATATATATATATATATATATATATATATATTTTTTTTTTTTAAATTTTATATTATTGACACATA